CTAATGGACCAATGACGTCTTAAAAACCAGTTCTTTGTCTTTATTTTTATTAAGCGATTTGATCGGCTACAGAGGTAAGCCAGTAAATCTTGGCAGCCGAACAGAATCCAAGTTAAATACCTTCTTAGAAGCAAGCGATCCCTTGTCCCTTAACCTCACTTTGTTGTGATGCATCTTTTCACAGGGAGCCATTAATGGATTTTTTTCATACATATGTTAATGTCTTTGGGGAAGAAAATCTCTATTTTCTCCCATTCGCCTCAATCCGATTGCTGTAACAAAACCCGGGTTTTATTATAAACTCCCCAAACTATTTAGACAGCGGCTTCACGTCTTCAGATATAGTTGTGTGAAATTTCCTCCTCCCTGAATGTGGTATTCATTGGCATTGACCTGTAAGCATTTTTTCCCCCAGTTCTTCTGGCTTCTACTGAAATCCGTATCATTTCCCTTCGGTCAAGTCTATAGAAGGTTGAGAGTTCACCTCTAAGCTAAAATAGCAGGAAACAAAAACTCCTTTTCTAAGAGGGAAGATTAACCAAGGTTTGTTTACAGGATGAAAAGGCCTGTTTTTTTTTTTTTTAAGACCAGCAAATTGAGGGACGCAGAGGTGGAGAACTCCTTAAAAAATCAATATTAAGCCCATCCTATAAAAGAGAGCCGAATAAGCAAGAATTCGGTCCAAAGATGTGGAGGGTTCTTTTATTTAAACATGATTTTATGAAAAGCCATGTTGTGAGATGTGTTCAAAACAGGCTTTTGTAGACTGAAATGGGTTATAGCCTTGTCATGCTCAATGTCTCCAAGTAAAGTGTCAGGCTTTATTTGCTCAAGTTAATCTAATAGATCTTGACTGAGATTCACTTCAGATGGAACACATTTTATGTGATACTAATTTAAAAAGGGGGAGAAAAACTTTCTGGCTGCCAAAGGACCAAAAAAAGGAGATCGAGGGACCTTCTTAAATCATGACTGCTCTTCAGAGATCCCAGATGTGGAGAAAGCACAATTCCAGATTATCCTCATGTTTAAATCATTCGGTGTTTTCCTGGAGGCTTATATCCATAAGCCTCTTGAGCTGTTTACCTTCGTATGATGGAATTCTCCTTGCCTCTTCTGGGTCCTTCTGCTAGAATTTTCAAAGACATACCCATAGAAACCTACAGAAGATTTCTTTCGTGTACCTAATACAAATTGCAGACAAATACCCCAGTTCCTCCACCAACCCTTCTCAACTCACAGATTTCTCCTCTGTGCCTCCATTGTCTCTGGATTTGCTTACAAGCCACGTGCATTACCAAGAAATTGGCAAAAATGAAGAGGCCCCCAAGTGCATTTGATTAATTTCATACAAGCATGAAATCAAGACTTTGCTTCTTTCATGCCCGCTTCAGGGTACCTTCGAAGGGTTTCATCCCTCCCTCTTAGGCAGACATATAAATCCCTTTGGGAGATTAATGATAATTGACTGCACTAATGCAAGGCTGTCTACCTTTGTGTCTACGAGTTCAGCCCACCAGGTTTCCTTCAAACGCTTCTCACGGGAGAAGAAAGAGGGGCTACTGTGCTGAGAAAGGCAGTGTCTGCATCGACAGGTGGTTGAACCCTTGAATCACCAACGCTTAAGGTACTTCAGGGTGACATTTCTCAGGACCTTCTCCTGGAGCGGAGAGATATCCGCCAAATAGAGCTCTTTTCTCCTGCGTTCCCTTTTGTTGGTGCCATTATTGGATGTGTTGACAGAAGAAATGCACGTGCAGTGAAGGCATGAAGGGGGGGGCGAAAAATCGACACCCAAACAGATGTTGCGACAAGGTTTTGTGGAATCTGAAACTCTGGCCGTTTAGACTCTTAAATCCAAAGCCATGCCTGCTTGATGCAGGAAGAGAAAATAAACTTTCTCGGGCAGAGGGGTTGTCCAGCTTCTGCTGGAAGACTTCCAATGGAGAAGAGTCTGCCGTTTCTCAAATTTGGCCACCCAAAAAAATGAGGAAATGAAATTTGACTCTACTATCGCCTCCATATTTGTCAAATTTAACACACAATTGGGGAGAGGTTTGATGCGGGAAACATCCGTGTGATGGAAAAACAGTATTCGCAATAACCTAAAGCCACATTTACCTTTTGACTTTTCTGCAATTTATTGTCTGAAATGGTATAGGGTTTTCTGCCTAAGCAGGGGGTTGGACTAGAAGACCTCCAAGGTCCCTTCCAACTCTATTATTCTACTCTACTCTACTCTACTCTACTCTACTCTACTCTACTCTACTC